CCAAAATTCCTCCGATGGCACCAGCCCCTGAGCCACGTGTTGATCAGGTGTGTTTTCCTGCTTTTTTCAGTATCCTTCCCTGCCACTGTAGGGATAGAGGAAAACACTACCTGTGCTCCCGATCTGAACCAGTCGCCCCAGTGCCCTGAAGTCCCTTTTGATCAGTATGCTCCATCTCCAGTGGGTTCCCAGTGCCCTGAAGTCCCTTTTGATCAGTATGCTCCATCTACCAGTGGGTTCCTTTCTCCTTGGCTTTATGCAAAAAAATTAAATAGAAATCTTAAAAAAAAATTCTCCATCACTGAAACATCATCACCATTATATAAACTTTTGAGGTTAATGTCAAGGGGCTGCTTTTGGAAAAGGAAAGAGGGGCATTGCTTTGAGGGAAAATAAGTGGTAAAAGATAGTCTTTGACACTGTAAAAAGAGGTCAGAGCCATTCTACAAATACAGAAATTTAAACTACAGCAATTCTGAGAAAATTCATGATTTTGTCCTGTGGGAATTTTTCACTTATAGTAAAAGGCCAGCTTCTGCCCACAGGGAGGCCAAAAAGTCACATGTGACTCAGTATAATTACAAACATGTTAGATTTTACACAAGCTCACTTGAGAAAGGGAACGGGTCAGTTCTGGGAGCTTTTTGCCACAGTTATCACCACACAAGCAAACTGCTTGGTGTTATTGACACCTCACTTACAGATTAGAGAAACCAGCACACTTTCTGGTTCAGTTCTGAGAAAAAGAGGTAATTGCAGTTAACAGCAAAGAAACTTGAGGGTAAACACACAGCACAGGTTTTGGGAGCAGCTACATTATCCCCGACCAACAGTGACTTTGGCAGATTGACAGGGACCTGATGGCCTCATGAAATATGTATGAAACAGAGCAGGTAATGGCTGCTCTCTGAGAGGCAGGAGAGCTGGGCAAGACCTCTCCTCGATTGCATTAACACAGCACACTAATACTACACGGAAAAAACGGTCTCCCAACCCCACAGAAGTTTTTTATTTCAATTTTATCCTACTTTTCTAAGGAGCAAGGCACGCACAGTTTCACTGTCGTACTTGTCTACTAGAAACCCGTGCACACTTTAGTCCACTTAACTAATTTTGACTGCAAGTGGTGGAGCTCTTCCTTCTCTGCCACATCTCCATGAAGTCCATGTGAACTAGCCCCCGGGTGAAGACCCTAATAAGGCTCCCCTGGAGGTAAAGACAAACTGAGCTGGGATGAGGGTCTTCCACAGGGTTCAATATGGCAAGTCACCCCCCAACTCCCAAAGCTTCTCAGTCCTCTGCAACTGTATTTTGCTGGAGTATTGTTGTCATTGTTTTTAAAAAACAAACAAAAAAAAAACCCCAAGCCCCAAGGACATACAGAGCACCATATAATTTTCTCTGCATTTCAACACAGTGCATGGTTTCATGGCTCAGCGGTGTCTATGTCCCTCCCTGCCGTCTCCTCTACACAGCACAGACTTGTGTAGGGGAAACCAGAGAAGGTCTGGCATAAGCAGACGCTACCCCCAATTTCAAAGCTGCTCTTCAGGTTGCTTTTTGACGCCTCTGGCATGCCTGCAGAGCCAGGCAGCGCTGGGCTCAGATGTGCTTTGGGAGGGATCTGCCCACACATCCACACAGTGCAGATGGGTCACCAACACTACCGGGACACCTGTATCACCCTCGCTATGCCCCAAGCTGGCTCCTACCTTGTTCACCACAAAGCAGAGGACAAACCCATCCAGGCTCCTCCACCCTGCTCCTTCCCATGGAGCTCAGCTGCCCTCCCCTGCCCTGCCCGGTGCTGTGGCAGCTGTGGGGCAGCTATTGCTTCCCCAGCCAGCACAGCCCTGCACCTTCTGGTTGATTGCAGACAGCACAACGTCTCCAGGGTTTTGGCCCCAAATGAAAGGGATTGCCCAGTTAAGCAGAATGAAAGGGAAGTACTTTTATGTCTCAGCCTAATCTCATAGATTAGTGTCCGTCCTGTAAGTTCCTCAGCACGCAGAAGCAGATTTCTTCCTTGCGCAGTTGAAGGCAGAATAATCTCTTGCGTAACGACACACAGGCTGGGGGACACTCATTAGCGGCTGCCTAATCCAACCGAGTGGTGCTTGCAACCACGGCACTGACCTGAGACCCTCTCCTTCTGGCGAGTGCTGTCGGCAGTACTCCAGGGTGAAGGACTCTGCCGACGCTGAGCCGGTGCGCCAGCGGACGGTGGCCATGTCCCAACACACCGTGCAGTCCTCGGCCTTGATGGTGGGGACAGCGGGCGCTGGGGACACAGGGACACGTTAGCCGTACCACAAGGAGGGTGCCAGCAGCTGGCAGAGGATGCTTATGAGGGAAAGGAAGAGTCACCTCCCCAAAAACCCACGGGAGAGTTAGTTTTGCCCATCCAGCAATGATCTTTTGCTTGTTTGTGTTTCAATGGTAGAGGGCTACATTATGGGGGAAAAAAAACAATGCTGGGAAAATCACTGTGAATATTTGTGCATTTCTGCACATTCTTAGAATGCCCGTGTAGATTTTTATGCCTTTCCTCAAGCACACTTTCCTCATTTCTGCCAATCTTCAAGGAGCAGAGCACCAAGGCAGTACTGCCTACAGCTCTCCCCGCATCACCTCAATCCTGTCCTCAGCAGTCCCTGCATGAACTGCACCAGAAACAAATGTGCTGCTGCAGAATTGACGGGGAAATGCTGACTTTCTGCTTAATTATGTCCTGTTTATTTTTGCAATGCTAAAATTTGGTCCTCTGTTTTCTCTTTTTTTGGAGCCTCAGCTTAAGAACTACAGGCCCAACTGCAAGACAGAAAACTGAATGTAAAACAATGCACTGAATGCAAGTAATCAAAAGCTATTATGTGAAATTGCACATCCAACATCATAGGCTGAAAGTGGATTAGTGTATTCACTTGCTCTTTCCCTTTCCAGGGAATAGCAACATAAACGAACCTTACAACCTGTTGTGGAAACTCATAGAAACAGTCTTAACACCAATCCTTAAAAGAAAGATTATTAATTAAAAAAAGATCATAGAAACTTTTTTTACTTTTAAAGAGATTGGGTTCCAAATAGGAAGCCTAAGACAAAAGTAGAAATTAGACAGTTTTATGACAAGATAATCTTATAGAACTGCAACCAGCATTCCAGATGCATTCTGTTTTGTAAGAAAAATACTTTTTTATTAGTAGAAAAGGAAAGAAGAACACCCACAAGTACATATTGATTTCCTGGTTTAGTGTAAATCAGGAGGTTAGCAGTTCACGATAAGATGTACTTGATGTTTTACAACAGAAACAGCTAATCTAGGTATTCAGCAGAAGAAAGAATCTGTGGGATAGGTTCTCATCTGGTAATAAATCTCTGTAGCTCCCTTAGCAATAATCCCTTAATGCTCTTCTAACATATTTGATTATTGTCTGTTTTAAAATGCCTCTGTTTCTAAAGAATAAAAAATTAATAGCTAAATCCCCTAATACCCACATTCAGCAACTGACATACATACCCACATTTATGTATGTGCAAATAGTATGTCACAAGACATCAAGCATTTTTTAATTATTTGAAATTATCTGTCTAAAGAGTAGATGGAGTCAGCATACCAGAAAAAGTTGTTACTGTGCTTCTGAGATTTTTTTAACAAATTAACTGCAGTTAGAATATATATCTGATTTCCTGGTAATATTCCAGCACTCATATAAGTGATCTTATAAGAGGCAAAGAGCCAAAAAGGGTAAGTTCTTACTCTGTCCCTCAGATACAGGGTGAGAATCACATAGGTTTTGAACAACAGAAGAAGGTGCATACACTCCTATGTCTTTAGGATTGCAAAAAGCCTTCATCTGGAGATCAGCTTGAGAGTGACAGGGAGGAGGGGGGGTAGAGGGATACTTGCTGCCTTCAGCATCATTCCCTCACAGAAAATACTGCCTGGAAACAGCCTGTTCCCCAGGGGAGGGGAGGACAGGCTGTGAGTTTGGGAGGTGGAGGAACAGGAGGCGGGAGGTGCTGGGGGGATGCTGCCACCCCAACTGCCTGCGTTCCCCAAAACTTCCCAGGCCCACTGCCACCTCCACGGACGCACTCCCAACAGGAAAACCTTGTGGGAGTTCCCAACACCTGGAGAGGCACAGCTTTGATCCACTATTAATGTGTATGTTCCTGTAACTGCATATACCAGCAAATTATTTTCTTGTATGTGCCAACTTTTGATCTGAATTACTAAAAATAAACTCTCTAAACTCTTGCTTCTGAGTTCATTGGGCTACTTGAAGAATCAAAGTATTCTAGCTTTATATCAAGGTAGCCGGGCTCACACTGAAGAACTGGTTTCCATTGCCGGTGCTCATCTTTCTGCCTCTGATGTTAAGGGGATGCAGCAGTTTTGCATCAGTCAGTGCTCAGCAGTGTCCCCACAAGTCCATCTGGGGCTCAGTGCACTCTGAAGGGAGTTCACCTCAGCTCGAGGGAAAGTGTTTAATGACCCCTTATTTGATCTGGTTTATTTGTTTTCTTAAAGAAACAGGCAAAAGGAAGGCATCAAAGGCTCGAGGAAATTAACTTCTTCAGAAGGCTACAGTTTTGGGAAAAAGAATGGTGAGCCTGATGCCAAAAGGCAAAGGCAGTTCTTAAAAATAACAGCTTCAGAGAGGTGAGAACCCCTTTTTAAATTATGATTTATTAGCTACTAATAACTCATTATTATTTTACCATTTTGCAGGAATTCTGCACCATGCTCACAATTACATTGTTGAGGACATAAAATTTGAATGTCTACTTTGAATTCTTTTGAAAATCATCTTTGATTAAAATATGAATAGCAAATTGAGTATCAAGGAGAATTATCAACAAATTTGAAGTCTAGTGGATTAAGAAAAAGGGTTGAAGTTGTGGTTGCTGCCAAGTGATTTTAACAATACACTCAGTGTTGTACAGTGTTATTTCACCACAAAATTGTTAAATACCCTTGTCTGTATCTTGTGACTGCAAGAACGGAATGATTGTTTTTATCCTGTAGCACTAAAAAAATTGTCTGGCAAGAGGGCCTCAGACACAAGAGGCTTCACCTTGCTCATAGTTCAAGAAGCAATAGTTTTGTCAATACAAATTATTAAAGAAATTAAAGCTCAGAAAAATTAATCAGTTAAAAGGAAGCTCATAAACAATACTCATCTAATTACTCATCTTAATTTATAACATTTAAACAGCAGCAGAGCCTCTCAGCCACACCTGAGGTTTGTGTCCCACTGAGCTAGACACAGCATGTAACCTCGGTAAACCAGGCCTTCCCCTGAAAAGTTAATTATTTAAATCAATGAAACACAGATGTATTTGGGAGGATGGCAGAGAGGCAAAAAAAGCAGCCATCGCCTCATTTTCCACAGGAGAAGCAGCAGCAGCAGCAAGGAGCAGCTGGGTGGCTTTCCCAGAGCTGCCCCAGAGCATTGCAGCGCACACAGAAGAGAAATTCATCATGTGCTGCCGCAATGCCCCAGTCACAAGGCCTGGAAACGCCTTCAAATCTGAGTGCCTTCAAGTTTTGTCCCAGGAGCAATTATGCCCCTATCTCTCAGCAAAAAGGGAAACGACCAAGAGTTGCCTGCTATCTGCCAGATGGGCTAAATGAAGCAGTTGCTTCTGTTTCAGTAACACTATGGACTAGAATTGGCCTAAGGACCTGAAGCTTATAATAATCAAATGCCAAAATAATAATTAAATGCCAAAATATGTACATACCCGTTTTAAAAATGGCTTTTTCACTTGGTAAGCTACAGCCTGTGCCATTCACAGCCATGACCCACACACTGTAGCTGCGGTCCGGCTCCAGGTCCTCCAAAATGCAGTGGCTCTCCTTCACCGTCACTCTGTACTCTTCCACCAAAGCTAGGAGGAACACACACATGCACAGGACATCACACACATGTTGCACTGGTACGGCCTATGATTGCACCTCTTAACTAACACGTAAAAACCAGTCAATTAAAAAAATCCAGAAAGCGTTACTAGCCAAGATCTCCATATTTTACTCTGACTCAGTTTTGACAGAAAGTTTCAGACGTGCCCTTGAGTTGAGTGCACTCAATCCCCACTGATGGCAAGGGGACATTATGGCTCTCAGTCCTACTGAGGACTGGGCTGCAAATTTGGGACATACAATCAGCAGTTGTCAACCCTGGTTTCACCGCTCTATAACGTAACAATTTCTCATAATGGACTTTATAGCCCTGAGCTATAAATTAGCTATTATAAAAAGCCCTTAGCATCCATACATACACACATGCACCCACATACACACATGGATTTGTGCAGAGCCCAGTTGCTTAGTGAATTTATGATCGGTCTGAGCTTTTTAATGAATGAGCATTTCAATCCTCTTTTCTCAATTTCATATTTTACATTTTAAATATTTTAATGTCGTTTTGAAAAAAAATCTTTGTCTACATGTGGAAATACTGTGGAAATACTCATTATCTTTTCCTGTCTTTTTTTTTTATTAGGACACATTTCCGAAGTACATGCAGGGCCCTAAAAACCTAATGAAGCCCGTCCCTTTGGGAGCTCTATCTGCAGTCCCCATGAGTCCCACAGGGCAGCATGGACACATCCCCTCTGAAGGTCAGGCTACTTCATAAAAGGGCACCTCAACAGGGATGTTGCTGCTTCTCTGCAAACAGCTGCCCTGCACTTTACAGACCATGATATTTATCTTGCATTTTGGGGGACAAGGGGAAGGAGAAGGAACGGCATCTACCTCACTCTCTCCTCCACCATTACCCATCCTTAGTCCTACACATGATGTCATCACAGCCCCTCTTCTTTCTGCATCCTGGGCCCTCCCCTGCAGTTTGGCCTCTGCTCTACTGACCCCAGACAAGAGCAGAAAGGACTCCTGCGGCTGTGAAGGCAAGACCTTACGCACCCCCCGCATCTTTGCTGGCTTGCGGCTCCTCCATACAGTAGACCTGGAAGCAGTCGATGGCATCCCCGTTGTTCACAGCCCAGTAAATGGCAATGGAGGTGCTGGTGGCTGAATTTGGTTCCTGAGGTACGACAGTCGGTGTCTGTGGGACTGAGAGGAAAGTCTCCCGTTGTTATTCACACTCCTGTATCTTCAGCCAAATTACCTACAGGTTCGTGAGGCAAGCTGGTTGCTTATTTTCACTCAGGTTGCTTATTTCCACAGAACAAGTACAGCAAGTACATGAAATATAGATAATACTGGTGCAGTTTTAGAGCAATGGGTCCTCCTAAACTAGGAACAGAAAAGTTAATTGCTCAGCATTGGAATCTGTCCATTTCCCTCACAGTCTGGACAAAATAAGATCCAGTCCCAGTACTGGGACCACCTCAACCCTGCGCAAAGCATGTGCCCACCACCGGCGCAGCTCTTGGGGTCCCTGCCTATGGGGCAGGACCATCACGCAAGATGAGTCATGACACGGCTGCTCATTTCCAACCTCCGGCAGGGAGGCTCCCAGGGCTGTGGTAATCCTGGACATCCAAAGCTGTCATACAGCTCCAGTGACCCCTCTCCTTTCCCCAGGAGACCTACTCTCTTCAGTCACAGGGAGAGCTCTCCAGCCCTGCGCTCCACTTCGAGGCACACGTGCTGATGAAACCCCAAGAGAATCCTGATAACTTCAGGCCACCTCCTCAGAAAGGCCTGAAGACCCTGGAGCTTAACACAGGCTCCTTTGAGTGACCACCTTCTCCATTACCTGACCTTGCCTTGCAGCACAGGCACCAGAGGAGAGGACACCCTATGAAGAGGATGGTCATGAAAGCGGAAACTGAAAGCACTTGTTGGTAGCAAACAGCACGAGATAGCTCACTGATGGGGAGAGGGAGCTTGCAGAAGAAGAAAGTTTCCTCCAGAGGCAGACGTATGTAGCTGATCCCAGAAAGGTAGGCAAGGGAAAGGACCTGCCACGCCAGGAAGGGATTCATGCAGAGTGTCAAATCCACTGACATTTACAGGAGCAGGGATGTGCTTTAGGTAAAGGAAGGCTCAGAGCTCCTGCACTAACAGCCTGGGGAGCAGGAAGTTCCCTGCAGCCTTGGGTCCACCCCTGCCCAGAGGTGGACTCCTACTGCAGGTGCACTACCAGGTGCTCCCGTTTGGCATGGTCATTTTCCCCACAGGCCCAGTGGACAGAGGATCGTTGGTGCGCAGGTGAACCCAAGCTCTGCCAAAGCACCTGAACCTCATGGGACAACCAGGAGCATCCTTCACAAAGAGTGCTTCAAAGACCTCCAAGGTGCCTCAGATTTCATATAAACTTTGTCTCCTGATCGGCACAGATCCATCCCTGATGAGATATTGTTCCCCTCTATGATTATGGCTTAAAAGAGAAGGAGGGGAAAGAAAGAAGCAAAAAGCCCCAAAAGATGTTCATTGTTAAAGTGATTGCAGGGAGCGAAAATACATGGTTCTATTTCTTCACCCAGCAAATTTCCATATTGCATGAAATATCTTAGAATCTCAGCAGAAAGCTTTTGCTTTTTTTCAGTTGTCTTCACAGTAATGATGATGATCCCCTGTGGCATGAACAAGGCAAATGCAGATGCTGGCTGTTTCCTTATGATTTATACAGAGAGCTACCAGTACAGTCGGATTACATCTGCTTCCCATTGAAAAAAATTATCCTTCTCATTGCTAAAAACAATCTGCATTTTGTCTTTTGACTGCATCTAGCTTCCCATTGAAAAAAATTATCCTTCTCATTGCTAAAAACAATCTGCATTTTGTCTTTTGACTGCATCTAGAGTTGGTCAATTTAAAAATTGATCATCTTTAGGGAAAGGCTTCCTTTCAGTGGACCCAGTGGGGAAACCAGCTTTTTTTTTTCCTATGAGTTGCCTAGGAAACCACTATTTATCATCATAGAAACCCCACAACTGCGAGATTTATTATTATGCCAAATCTGAACGGAAGCTTAATGAATGAAACTTCTGAAAAAAAAGTTATAAATCAAAATTCAATTTGTTAACATTGAGAAACATTTGATTTCAAATTTCCTGTTGCATAATATGAAAGAAACTTTTGAAAGGAAGTCATTTCAAAGCAAGAAGTTGAAATATTCTCTTCAGAAACAGAACAATTATGTGTTATCAAAGTGCTGGCCCCTTTTTAAATGAATTCTAGTCAAAGAAATGAGGTATTTGTACCACA